GGATACAAATCTCTTCTCACAAGTAACTCTGGAGTGCAATGCTGAAGCAAATCCATCTCCAGTTTATCAGTGGTATCACAGGTAAGTCTTTAAATCAAAAGTTAATAATAATTGGTTTTTATAAGAAGAAAGGTGAAAATCGAGCAATCAGTTCACTTGATGATAATCGGAGACTATGATCCGTAAATACCTATGTACGTTTATCCTTGATTAAGAATCAAAATGCAGATGTGTTGTTTTCACTCAGCAGCAACATTAGGCTATTACTTCTAGTATTCTATACTTCTAGTATGTGACATAGGCCATCGGATCAGTAAACTAACGTGGCAATGGACCGGCCATATACATCGAAGAACTCACAACTGATTGTGACGAAAGTTTCTCGGACGGCGGCCTCGTACCGGTAATTGAAGTATTGGTGGATCCCTACTGGGACTGGATAAGACATTAAGGAAGTCAATAGATGCAGATGACTCAGGATGGTGTACTTTGCATGGGCTTATGTTCAGCAGTTGGATTGTAGATGTTTGTATTGATGATGATAATGACAAATCTTTGCGAGTGGGGTCCTACCCGGGCGACCGGCGACCATTATATCGTTGCTGAAAGTACAGAAAGTGGGATAAATCTGAAATTTTCACCCCAATATAATAATTAAATGCGGTAAAATCCATAAAATTATGTTTTCTTCGAGAGATGAACTAATATATTTTATCATAGAATAATAATTTATTTGGTTTCTCCTATGCTTTCTTTTAACTATTTATTTATCCGATTACGATGGAGTTTCTGATGTGTCGTAGACCACACAACCACAGTTTTTAAGTGATTGGTTCATGTACTCGTATATCTGCGACGATGGTATGATGGTTTATATATATCGCAATTAAAAATTGTATTTTGAATAAACAGTTGTCCCCAGCTAAATTAGGGCCTGGGAACTTTTGACATTTCCTTTATTCTTTTACCGGGATGAGATTAAGGGGATGAGTAAAACTTATTGTGCTAACAGAGAGCATAGTTCGAGTACGGTAACAATGAATAGGGTAATAGTAGCGTTTGTTTTAATAAAGTATATTATAAGTTTTAATATCATACTACTTTCTTATTACATCCATTGTTTTCGAAATGAAATTACTGTAATTGAATTAAATGATTGTAATGGATATGAATTCAATTCTTTGTTTAATATACTTACCTATTAAGATAAACGTTAACCAAAAGTAATAGAATTTTTGCAATTGTTTCCGATGTTACAGTTTTTACATGTAATGCAATAAATAACACTTATTTTTCAAAAGTAAAAGTAAAATGTTTTTTTATATATTCACTATTGCATTTTGTAACCAGCATGGCATCGATTTCAATTATACAGGATGTTAGTGTAAACACCGTTATCCTTGAAACCAGTGGTTTGGTTTCACTTATAGAACGTGAATTCAATGAAAAATAACAACATTTTTTAGTAAAATCTCAATTTTTCCTTAATTCCTCAATTTTTGCCTGTCCTAAACCAGGATGAAAGTATGAAGAAAAAGTTACGTCAGAGGTTATGTGTACCTATTGTGTTTTTATTGGAATGTTGTGTAGGTAGCTAGTGCGGGCGGTGATCTTTACAGTGATTACGTGACTCGGACGCATAGGGTATCCATGAATTTATGAACGGTGTCAGACAGAAACTTTTTAAATTTTATGAAAGAAAATAGCGTTTTTTTAAAAATTCGGATAAATAGTTTTATATTAAAGCCTACCTATGGTTTTAGTGATAATGGTGTTTACACTTACAACTTTACACTGTGCCTAAGCCACAGCTTGTAATATAATTTTTATGTCACAACATAATAAGAAAATTCCAGCATTTAGAAATAAAAGAAGGACTTTTCGTATTTTGTGTATAAGATAAGAAAAATATTAACAATTTATAAAAAATTGGTTGATGGTGGAAATTCCTGAATCTCGTATAAAAAAAACAAAGCTTATCTTTATTATTTATATGACATTCAGGAATTTACACCATCAAAGTGCTATGGAAATTGGTAGGGTATCTTTTATATCTGGAAGTCCGTTTGACTTGTTACCACAACCACACTTTACCTATTTCCTGCCGTCAAATAGCAGTGTACTTACTCTCGTGATCGGTCTTAAGGGTTCGAGTGCCGTATTTAGGCTGTAAGACATTTCATCTCAGTTCTAAATCGTTGACGACAACGCACATGTGGTTCTTTTTGTGAGGAATTCACCTTTTATAACCATGGAGTATAACGTGGTAAGCACGTGAGCGTGACAGATTTCACACTGCTGTCTACTACTGAGTCGACTGAGACGTGTAAGATTCACACTGCGGCTATAACGACTCGAATAGGAAATAACTACGCTCTCACAGGATAACAGCTTAAAATAGCAGCACAGTGCTGCTGTGTATTTGTGTAATTAGTACAAAAAACTGGTGACTCTTTTTACTGGATACGAGGCATTCCATCTTAGTCCTAAGGGGCGATGACGCATTTGCATTGTGATTCTTAATCAATTATAGGTATTTATGGACTTCGGCATTCACTCACCAATAGGTGAACTGTGTGTTCGTTTGCCCACTTACTCCTTCCTATAAAAAGCAAAGTTTTTTTCATAATAGGTACTTATTTTTTGTTCAAAACGTTAAGTGTATTTCGTTTCTTACAGTCCAGGAACAAGAACTATTAATAATTTACTCGAAGACGCTTACTTAATATCATCCACCGCTCAGTTACAATTGCATAACGTCTCATACCACCAAAATGGACAGTATATTTGCATCGCTAAGAATCATATTGGACACAAGGAAAGGTCAGTTATTCATCCTATCTATCATTGATTTAGTGAACGTTCTAATATATAGTATAATGTATAAAATTGAATATTTGTTTGTTTGTTCGTCTTCTATGCATTCCTATACCATTTATCCGATTACGATAAAACTTTTGTTACTTTTGCAAAGAGGTCTTGCAATTTGTAACAAATGCTGAGTGGACCTAAATAAATATATATAATATAATTAAATATAATATTATATTGCTATAACAATCAAATAAATAGCTACCAAATTATATTAAGCTGCCAAAATTAAAAATAGTATCATCTTTTAGATTCTATGAAAAACGCATATAGTATGTAAAATAAAATTTCAGACGTATTTTTACTTATTGAGGTATTTATTAAAACATATATCATGTATTAAAAATTGAAATAAAATATTTCAGAATTTTTCCATTTTTAAAAGATTAATAGCAAAAAATATAAAATATGTAGCTTAAAATGCTTCGTATATTATAAACAATAATATTATAAATTATAAACAATAAGACAAGTGTCCTGATATCCTTTATTAGATAAAAAATGAAGTCCTTTTAAACTTCACCTACAGATCGCATCGATCAGAAGCCATCACTCTCAACGTATTGGGTCCACCCGTTGGAATCGACACGGGAGTGGTTCATGCTTGGAGTGGTGGTGAAGCCAAAGTTCAAGCAACGGTGTGCGCTGACCCTCCGCCCGATGAAGCTGTATGGCTCTGGAGTCATTTTAGATTAGAAGTGCCTTCTCAGATTGGTGAGATATTTTATAGAAGTCACCAACTGTACGATCTTTTTTACCGTCTGGAAAAAAATAGGGTGTAACAAGTGAACGGAGTAGATGCCTAGGTTTCTACTCCGTTCACGTGTTACAGCCTATTTTGCCATAGGGCACTGATATTTTCCAAAAAACAAAAATATTTTTTTAATTAAACGTTTGAAAAAATTTTTTTTGAACAGTTAGTTAGCCCTTGAGCCTGAGCTGAGACCCTACGAACTGACAAGGCCAAAGATGCCTACTTTTATTTTTTATAGCCGTTTGTAAAGTAAGGTGGATATGATTTGAATTTCGACAGATTTTAATTAATTTATTTATTTAATTAAAAATTTTCGTGTTTATTTTTTGTTAAATATCAGTGCTATAGGCTTCTACTTCGTTCACTTGTTACAACCTATTTTTTTTCCAGACGGTAAGAAGGGTCATCCGGTATTTATTTTTACGGTCCTTATTGTTAACCTATTTAGACATCGTTGGGGAAGTTTAGGTGATATTACGAGTATATTTAACACAAAAGAATACGTTTTTTTGATATTTGATGTCTTATATGTAATATAATTGCTGTGTAAGGGAACTCATTACCCTATTTCGTTCATGCTAGAAAATATCTTACGGCTTCCGATAGATGGCAGTGGCATAGCTATCTCGGTGACTGCCTCGTTTGTCTAGTGGTTGTAGTACTGCGACTGCTAATCATGAGGTCCTGGGTTCGAATCCCGGGTCGAGCCAAAAAATTTATTGTTGAGTTTTTCCATCAAGAAATTCTCAGTAGTTGCCTGGAGTCAGGAAGTTGGCGGTGTCTCACCCCCGTGCCTCGGAAAGCACGTAAAGCCGTTGGTCCTGCACCTGATCTCTCTCCGCTTGTGTCGGTTTACCGTCCCATCGGATTATGAGAGTGAGGGAATAGAGAGTGCACCTGTGCTTGCCCATACACTTGGGTACTATAATTCTGTCCTGCGCCGATGGTTAGTCCCCGTTGAAGCAGGCCGCCGTGGCCAAAATTCGGTCTGGAGGACATTATTATCCCCGTAACTTCAGAAGTCAAAAGTGCGAGACGTCTGTTACTGCGATAACAAGCGTGACGATGTAAGGCAATTGAAAGGACCCCATCCAACGGTAGACTTTTACGGATCGATAAAAAAAGAAAGAAAGAATGTGACATGAGTGATAAACTAGAACCATGGAGTATAGTGGTAAGGAAGACAATCTCCCATAGGAGAATAGTTGAAAATGTGAAAACAGTTCAAAACTTCTCCACTACAGCGCTCGAGTAGCTACAGGGTATGATAAATCGCCGTAAAATACATTGAGAGTGATTTTGAAAATAAAGATTTTGAAAGCAATTAAATAATTATTGTAAAAAGAATTATGGTGAAAGTCTGTGCAATAAATTTAAAGTGCTTTAAAATTTAGACTGTTGATACAGTGGCGCCACCTATTTAGCGCTTTCCTACGGACACTTTTTTATACAAAGTCTGTACTCCTTACCTCTAAACTCCATAACTAGAACGTTTACAGTAGGTACTATTTTCCTAGGTGGTAGGACTCTTTTTCTGTCTAGGAGCAAGTCTAGGTAGTTTTTTTTTAAATAGAATAAGGGTAACAAACGAGCACACGTCCACCTGATGGTAAGTGAATGCTGTGGCACATAGACATCTACATTTATCCTCGATTAAGACTCAAAACGCAGATGCGTTGTCACACCTGAGGACAAAGATGGAATGTCTCGATTCCAGTAAAAAGGGTCTCCGAATCTCTACACACACCAAACGAAAAACAGCGTGAGCGTGAGTGAAAAAAGATTGTGGTCCTTCCCCGGTCGAGCCGACGCATTCGTGCTGCAACCATAATATAGCCGCAGCATGGCTCTACCACGTGTAACGTTACGATGCAATAACTCTTTCAGACGCCAAATAACAGTGCATTACTGCTGTATTCCGGCCTGAACTAGTACTTATATCTCCCCCTCTTGCCCATTTTGGCCGTCAAACCTCAGTGTCACACTAATGTGTTCCAGTCTGAAGAGTAAAGAGAGCCAGTATTACAGACATTGTGAGGTATTCCATCTAAGTCTTCAGGTCAGTCACCTCTGGACAACGCCTTTTTTCTTTGAAGTAGGCCGCAGATGTTCTTGGACTGCAGCAGCCACTTACCATCATGTAAGTAAATTCATTTGTCACTTGTTTTATTTAAAAAAAGTGTATTATTTCGCAGGAAAGTACGGAGCATTAGAGATGGAGAAAATAGACGGCTGCTACCGATATATTTTATCTATAAGCTACGTTGAAGCTGCCGATGCGAGAGACTACGTGTTGCATGTGGAGAATGAGAGGGGTTTTTCTTCCCTAACGGTCTCACTCATTGTGCATGGTATGACAGTTTATATCAAAATTTTCGCGTAGCACTATTTTTATCGAGTTCGAAAAATAACGAACTTCTATATTCGACATGTATGTTTTTTTAAATCTATGCTCAACAATTTCTCTGAATCAGTTGAACCGATTAAAATGATTCGTCTTTACTAAATAGGAAATATTTCAAATGTTGTCCCGCTTAAATTTTAAGAATGAATTTCACTCATAAGGTTGGGGAAGGGACTTTCCTTATGGGAAGAAATTTTTATTGCAACTATTAAGATGTCATTCTAGTTGTCACCTTAGTCTTGAGATATTACTTAGTCACTTATAAAGGGTAAATGTTTTTAAGCTTTTGGCTACAAAGTAGAAACCGAATTTAAAAACTAAAACAAATACAAGTATTTGTCTATGCTTTATATTTCAGTTCTTTATTTACCCACGTAAAGTAAGTCACTTGAGGGCCTATACTATCACAAATGGTTTATCAAGATCCTCCGTTATGCCGAAATTATTGCAGCATTAATTTTGAAATAAATACATGGTAAAGCTGAGGATTAATTTTAAGTACTGTGTTAGACGAAAACACGATTCCGTAAAACTTTCTCGATAGAAAAAAAATCCAAAGTTACCTCCAAACCAAACAATAAACCGCTGGAATTCGCAAAATCCTTTAAATTATATAAATCATTAAACTTTGCATACTAACTGAACTAAGTATAAAGCAGGGCTTACGTTTTTTATTTCCTTTTAAATTATCATTATTTTCACTTTAAAAAGAAATTACCTAAACTATCGGCGTCCTGAAGCTTGTTCCTTGTTCCTTGCCGCCCCCGCTCTCTTCGGCTCTCTCTCGCTTCGACATTCGAACGGGAAAGCTGTGTCGCTTACAATCAGAATACAGTTTATGCAACAGGATGACGTAAAATTAAAATGGGAAATAATCGTAATAAAAATAAGAAGCAGACTGGGTTGGCGAAAAGAAAGGTTCTAATGAAGTAAGTATCTAACGACCGATTTACTTACAGTATTAGTGATTACAAACATATCGGTAGAGAACATACGACGCGCGGGGAAGTGGTGCGAAATTAGTATTTGTGCTGAGATAGTATAGGCTCTTAATTAAATAAAGTTTTTTTGGCCTTATATCAACTGAAACCTACAACCAACTACATACAAAGAAAGATATAGATGTATGATAACACCTGATTACTAAAATGAAATGCTTCACGGTTTGTAATTACAGCTTTCATATTTCCAACCGAAACATAGCATTTTGTTTGGTTCATGATAACAGTAGTTTCAACGGTTTGATAGCGCAGTGACTTATGATTTGGCTGCCATGATGCGGGCTGCTGGTTCGATTCCCTCACAAATAGTTCTTCCGGGTCTGTCTGTTCACCAGCAATATATGTATATTAAACCAAAAAAAAGGAATAAAGCATTCGGTTAATGCAACCTAACCTACCTTTGACGTTTCCTTGACGTAGTGACTTAGCATTTCTTAGATTCGAATCCCGCACGAAACAAGTATTTGTTTGGCCTACAAATAACTGTTCCGGGTCTGGATGTTTTTCCTTTTACTATTAATTTATGTAAATTGCCTCCACGATACAGGGTAAAATCCTAGTATGGTATCTTTTCGTTCTTCATATAATTTAAAAAAAAAACAGAATGTTTTTCCAAATTAATAATTTTGTTATGTTTGTTTTTTTATTTTCAAATATAATTAAACGCCGTGAAATCTCTTCACGCAGAAAATTTTTCGGTAACAGAGACCATGCGCGTGGCTCCAATGATCGCTGCTGCATTGGTCATCTCAGCACTGCTCGTTCTGGTGTTGTGTTTTCTAGTGCGCTGTCGAAGAAGAAGAGGTAAGTTTTTAAGCAATAGAAAAAATATTAACATTTTTATTTATTTATTGTAGAATTGGCTACAATGCCTTAAGCCATAATGAACATTTCAAATGCTGACATTACACAAACAGTACACAATTTGATTGTGGTCTAGTTTTCTTAAAATCTCTAAGACTAATTAAATAATATATTTAAATAAACGACGACATTCTAGTTGTTACGTCAAAGCCATACATTTTCAAAATAAAAATAATAAAATAATTTCCACACATACAATTTTTTAAAGTGGGGATTTAATTGTTCGATACACCTTATCTTCACACCAACTTCAGACGCTAACTTTTAGTTTATTTTAGAGTTAGTTTTTTTAATTTAATTATGTGTGTTATATTCGCACATGTTAATTAAACTACTTATTTAGAATTAACACTTATATAATATCCTTGAGTATAGATTATACTTATGTTAACATTGAGTTTTCGAAACCACAAGGAAGTAAATTACAAACATGTGATTACATTTTTTAAACAACTTTTTTATAATACCTCTAAATTTTTATGTATATTAGACGGTTGATTTTCTCAGTCAATAAATAGCGTAGTATTTCAAAAACAGTTTTTTGAAATACTACGCTATTTATTGACTTAGATACATACAATATAAATTTCATAATTGATTTAATAACGAAAATAATATTTTTAAACTTGAGTTACAAAATGAAAATATATAAGCGAAAAATAGTCTCTAACCATAGGTATTTATGGGTTAAAGTGTTGTGGGTGAGTGCGGCCGGATTTGGTTACATGGTATTTGTCGGAATATCGCCGCGACCGAATTCGGCCGCTTGGCAGCTAAGAGGTTAATTGAAACTGCGGTGCAACTAATCAAATATCCCCCCACCCCCTTTAAGGCAATCTATGGGGGGGGGGCTACTCTTATATTCAGCGGGAGACTTTAATAGGCTGTAACGATGAGCGATTATGATGCATCACAAATTTTTACTTTATAGTTATCTTTATAGATCACGTCACCGTATAAAGAATATATATATATATATATATATATATATATATATATATATATATATATATATATATATATATATATATATATATATATATATATATGTGTATATGGTGGTAACATTTCAGATATCGATTACCAATCAGCCAGCGTATCGTGACGTTTATGGTAAATCAGTGGCGATTGCAGTAATTTAGGCAAAAATATAATTTACCAGTGATCTTCCCCGGCTTCTCACGGGATATTTCTGGATCCCCACAACAGCTCCATCTGCCAAGTCAAATTGTAAAACTAAACCATCCAGGTAACCACTTGAACACACTCAAAACTTTTTTGGAGGAGTTCTGTGACAAACACGCGTACAGAAAAAATTATATACATAAGGATATTCTTTATTAATATAAGATTTTCTTTTCAGATAGCGTCGAATACAAGACTGACGAATTAGACAGGTAATAATATTGGGGATAGTTGACTAATTCTGAATTGAATGGATATCGCCCTATTGAGAAAAAAGGCTCACCTGAGTTAGTAATTATAACTTAGACAACTACATCCAATTGATAATATTATGCAATCAAGATGTCATTGCTGAGCTTCAATTGTTTATGGCTCCTTTTCGAGTGTATCATCATCAACGATATTCAGTTATCTATGGGCTTATTATTGTTCCATTCTGTTTATAAGTGCTATGCTATTGTAGTATTAAATTTAAAGTAAATAATAAAAAACACAATTTTTCAAAAAAAGAATACCTGTGATGGCGGCTGTAGACGCTCGTCACGTTGCCTTGCGCACCTATCGTCTCGTAGAGGCTCGACTCGAGAACACACCATGTATACACTCGAATCATTTGAACTCCATGTGCCCGCTGAGATGGATCTAGATGAAGCTGTTGCTGCGTTTTGACTTTGTGCTATTAGTTATTATAATTTTTTACATATTTATCACGGGTACTCGGCCTGTCTCGTGGTGTCTCGACGAGCGTGTACAGCCGCCATGAGCTTTCCTATGCAGTTTCTTCTTCGGTCAGCACAACCACATTTAAACGGTAGTAGATTTCAAAACAAATTTAATTTAATTTTTTTGCGACAAAGATATAATTAATTTCATTTAATTTCTGATTTCGGGTGGCAAATCAATCAATTTTCCACACAGTCA